GGTGCTGGTACCGCGAACTCTTCGTTCGGAACGGCCCTCAGTGTGACAAGGAGTGGTCACAACAGTACCCTTCTCACTGGTATAATTTGGGCACGTTAAGGATTTTCCTGAAATCGGTCATTTTACCCCTCTACTGGCCGGGTTTTCGGTACCAAAAAAATCAATTTTTGGCCGCTCCACGTACCATCCGGCTCAATTCGGGTACAGGAGGGGGGTCGCGATATAGTGCCATCTTTGTTAGTGCCAGCTCCGATATAGTGCTACCCTTCTGCGGGTGGCACGAATTTTGAGCCAAAAACCAAGGGTCTCCAGAGAGGCAAGGCAGTTGGATGGACTACGTATTGCCCGAGAGCCGCTGCCGCTGCGGAAAGATATTATGCAGTTTCTTACTAAACCCAGTTATCGTATTTAGTGTCACCTATACTATTTCAGTGAGAGAATTTAAAACATGCTCACAGTGAATAGTCTGCGTGACACTATATCCTCCATGACACTATTTTCATTGCCACACATTTTAGTATCACGCATACTATTAAAGTACACCATTATAGTGTAGGGGCAGATGAGATCAAAAATTCTAAACGTGTACCGACCCCCTGCCCTTTCATATCACCCGAGCTGCAGAAAGCTCTTGCTCGCGCACGCCGTACACCAGTTCCCCTACTCCATACCCCCCGCCCTTTCATGTCAGCCGAGCTGCAGAAAGCTCTTGCTCGGGCACGTCGTCCACCACCGCCCCTCGTCTATACCCACCCCCCGTCCTTGCATGCCAGTCGAGCTGCAGGAAGCTCTTGCTCGCGCACGCCGTACACCTGTCCCCTCCTCCATACCCACCGCCATCCTTGCATGCCAGCGGAGCTGCACGAATCTGTTGCTCGGCCTTGCACTCCCCTTTCTAACCTTACAAAGTATCATTGCTTTATCAAGTCTCGCTTAAAATATTCGTATTGACCTTGCATCTTCTCCCCCTACGTTGCGATTCGCGCACATCTCAGTTCCGATTTTTCTACGTTTACGTCATCTGGTTTCTTCGCAAAACCGTCTGCTCAGCCTCGCCCCAGCCGCGTTGACCACCTTATCCTCCCCTTCTTCTCGCGCACCGCGCCCGAAACCACCTCCCTGCTTCTTGACCCTACCTGTCCTTGCCTCCCGCTAACCCCTGTAGTATAAACACCCCCAACGGAGGGGGGTGTATACTTAGTTCTTGCGGAGACCCCAATCGGCGGGAAGACGGGAAGCAACCCCAGCTAACGGAACCGGGCGAGCCTGGGGTAGCAGTGGTAGAGCGGGTACAGTCGGGGACGCGCGCACGCGCGGGCCGATCTACGCCTCGACGCCCCGGCGCAGCGCTGGGTGACGTACCAGCGCTGACGGGCGGAGGCGGATCTAGGCTCGCTCGCGTGCTTGCGCGTCCCCTGCCCGCTCGGTTCCTAACTAGATACGGGCTAGTGGGAACCCGTTCTAGAATAAGCTGGGCGAGGTTGACCAAAGGCGTAGGTTCTGGACAAGCTCGTGCTTGTTCTTCCCCTCCGCCGTCGGTCTGCCCTAGTATTTAATATACAAGTAAGTCCTATCATACCACAGTACGGTACGTACTGTACTGTATTGCTACTGTAGTCAGTGCGGGCCGTCCCGTACTGTAACGCTGTCAGCCATCGGGGCTGATAGTACACGTGTGTTGCACGTATGTGCGCGTGCTGTCGTACTGTAGAGCTCGGGCTCTACAGTAGCTGATCTAATCTAAATCCAGTTAGGGATTATACTACAACCCCTTCCTCTCCCCCTCAATTTTCTCCGGATTGTACCACCTCCTCAATGTCTCCAGGAACACCAACCACAGCGCTCACTACATCAACCGGTTCTCCTTCGAAGTGATCCCGATATTTGCCGATAATGTGCTGCAGCTTGGGCAACGGCTGCCTCTCCTCCCACTGATCGTTTTATTTAAAGCCATTCCAGTAATAATCATGCCCTTGCGAGCGTATGAAATCCCGTCTTTGTCGCGTTGCAGATTCACAACAGCAACAGCCTTCACGGCAAGGTCTAGGAAAAATGTTTTTCCGGGGTTTGGAATTTTGCCCGAATTTTTAGACCAATTGTTTTGCTCTATCATTTTCATCTTGTGCGCCTCCCAGCGTACAGACCACTCGCTCTTAATTTTTTGAATTATAAACGAATCGCAGGGCTGGACGTAGTCGGTTAGGTTCGGTTCAAAATACTTGATCTCGGTGTTGATGCGTCGCGCAGCTTCTGAAAGTTCAGGGGTTGTGTTGTGTTCAGAGCAATTATCGAGGTAGAGCACTCGCTTCCTGCCATGTGGCAGAGAGGAGATGACCTTCGGTTCTGAAAGCCAAAGTGGCATGACCTTTGTGTCCATCCAGCCCTTCGGCCCCGATCGGTATGAAACACCGTGCACGCTGTCGGAACCCCTCTGATCGGATACGAGCGCTTCTGGTTTTTAAACATCAGAAATGGAGATGCAATGCGCGCATCAAGGCCGCCTGTGAGCCGCACAACCATCGTCATGCCGTCCCCCCTGAAACGGCTTCCGCATATTTGTCTTCTTGGTCTCCCGAAAATCCGAGCGTGCGTCCGTTGTCGACATCTATGACAAAATGCGTTTCATCCGAATTTTCTGTGTCTTCCTCCCTCAATTCACTACTGCGAAATCCTCGAGCTAACACACCAAGATGAAAAGCGACCTGTTTCTCAAGGTAGTCTCTTTTTAGGGGGCTTAGTTGATGTTTTCCCATAAGAGCGGGACTGACAATACCATGACAGTCAGCAAAAGACTGCTGGAAACGTGCTGTAATGAAAGTAGAAAGGGGGACTTCCGGTTCGTTGATCTAGCATGGAAGGGTGGTATTCATCGCTGTTACCGGAATCCAGAAGATGCTGCCCAACTACACGCAGTGAACTGTAATTGAATTTCACGCCCAGTTTGCGTAGTCGATCGAATTCAGTACGCCAATCATGGTAGAGGAATAGGACCCACTGTGGTCTTTTGCGATCTCTTCCTCTTCTAGCCTTCATATTCACTCGCTCATGGACGCCGTTTATGCGACGGGTGATAACCGAATGGGTTCCTTTCAAGGATATTCCACCCTGAGCGTGAACGTATTCAATGCGGGATTTCCACAGTCTTGACGCTTTTTCCAAATTGGCGTTGTCGGATCCTTGAAACAGTGATGAGAACCTTGCCACAGCTCTGCTCGGAATGTGCTTGTTTCCGTCCTTTGCAGCAGCATTCATCATCCACTTGACAGTACTCGCCCGCTGCGAAATGGTAAGCACATGCTGAGTGGAGCGCTCTTGGATGTTGCCGCTGCAAGGGATATTGTTGGGGTTAATTGCGCCTGGCATGGTGCTATTTCTGCTGTGTGTGTCCCGGTCGGCATCAGCACTGTCGTCAGACACAATGCGTTGTGTGCGCAGCGCTCTAACACGCTCAAAAGCCGCTAAAATGGGGGACGCAGAGAGAGGCATGGTGCGGCGTGTGTTGAGGGAGAAAGGATAATGGATGGACAAAGGATAAGGGAGGCAAAAAAGTCAGGAATCTGACGAAAGGAGAGGTACTGTATTGATACAGAGAAATCCCACTTTACGTCAGCGCCCATCAATCAGCCGGGCGACGGCGGTGTAGATCATGACCAAAGGCAATAATTGGGCCAGCGAAATAAATTCACAGATATTGCCCCACAGGGTGAAGGGTCCTGTCGCTTCTGTGTCACACAATATAGTGTCACACACACTATTTCTGTTGTGACACTAAATAGTTGTTGACACTAAATACGATAACTGGGTGTAGAATAGAGACTATGGTGGAAAAAGGCAGGGTCGATGATGCAATTGGACATCTGCAAAAGTGTAGGCTCGCATTTATGGCTGCGAAAAAGGAGGAAGTCAATGCGACGGCTCGGCAGCTACTAATAACAGAAATGCTTGATTAGACTTGAGTCTGTAGTGAAGATGCAAAGTATGAGTGATTGCGTCCTGCGAGCGGTCTTTCTGAGCAGTGATGCAAGGAAGTGGCTGCAAAAAAGCCGTAAATCTCATTATCTTACAGTGCCTGGTTTGATATAGTGCCGTTTTCGGCCCACTGACACAGGGTAGCACTATATCGCGACCCCCTGTACCCACATACATCAGAGTTGCGACAATCCCGGCGAACTTCGTGCCGCGACGTGCTGCCGATCTGCACGAGTACTCTCTTCCCTCCCTTGTCGACGAGACGGAGAACGTCTAGGCCACTTTTTTAAGGAAATATCATCCAGAGAATTCCAAAAACTGCTCTCCAAATTGCGAACAACCTCCTCCCTTCCAACAGGCGCCTTACCTCCCTTCTCACCAATTGACCTTGTTGACACACGCCGTTTGCGTGCCTTGATAGCCTGTGTGTGTTTAGTGTCCACATTTCCACACCTCACAGGCTGTGAGAGCATCTGAGGGGCATTGGACGTCAGAAAAGCCTATTTCATGCTTCTAACACTCATACGATGCTTCGAGGGCGTCTACTGCTTTATTTAATATTCCCATTTATAAAAAAGGGGGTTTGCGCGGCTAGCGCGCTCTTCTCTACTCTTGGTGATTCGTCACTTGTGTGCGAGGGTTTGTGTTCTCATTTCCGGCGGCATACTGCCACCGTCGAGCCAGGAGGCGGATAGAAAGAGGAGGAAAAACTTTACTGTCCAGGTGCTGGGTGCGTGTTTGTGTGTGTGTGTGTGTGAGTGTGTGAGATGGGCTCTGCATAGATTTGAAAGGCGGGAGGGGCAGAGGATCGTGGGTTGAAAAGTGCCCAAATTAACCCATTACAGTACCCAAATTATGCCAGTGAGAAGGGTACTGTAACGGTACTGTACAATATCTCCAAGGGACAGAACAACGGCTTTGTGAGGATTTTAACGGTATTTATTTCACGTGACCGGAGATACATCCTCGGTTGTGGCTCCCGTGGCTAAAGTGTCAATGCCATGAAGATCTCTGACAGACTGTGGCTGAGCTCACGACAATCTCCTCAACTCGCTGTAGGCTTTCCTCAAAAGGTTCAAACGTTGTTGTCGCCATACACGAGCTTGGGCCACACACGGATCCTCTTCAAACAGCTTGTCCCAATCTTCTTCTGCAAGTCTTTTTTCAATGGCTCCTTTGTAATCCTCGTAAACCAAACAGCTCTGCACAAGCATTGGAATGACGTCAAACAATCTCCTCATTATAGTTTCCCCGTAACAGTGCAGTGATATTTGCAATTCTAGCAAGGCTTCACGCCCTGCATCTCCCTCGTGCTGGGAATCGTTTTGCGCAGCAGAGTCGATCTCTCCGTTCATCTGACTTGTAGGACCCCTTCTTCCCAAATTCAATGCGCCAGGGCGCATTGAATTTGGGAAGAAGGGGCCTTGATTTCGTCCCTGCAAGTCTTCTTCGCCTTCTTCCTTGTCTGCCTGTGCCTCTGCCCTTACACTTCTGATGTGTTCCATATAGCTTTTATCAAGCGCGAAGACTTGCTTTGATTCAGCTTTTATCACAGCCATCGTGACGTCTCTAGCGCGGGTTTGTGCAGCATCGATAGACTCGCCGAGCTTGTCATGGAACATCGCCGCCAGGTTCGGGAGCCTGGTCAACTCTTCCTTCTCTTCGATTAGTGTTCTCATAGCACGAGCCATCAGATCTCCTACATCATCAATAAGCCTATCCGTTTTATTACTGAAGTTATCAGCAAAGAAAATGTTTTGGAGCAGTTGGCGAAACATCTGGTCGTTCGTGAAGTTCTGCAGCGAAAACCCCATAAACTCCCTGCTTTCCTGTTGTAATTCTGCACCGTATTCTTTGCTTAGACAATCTGGAAAGTAATGTCTGACATCTGCTGCATACATTTTATACAATTCGTAGGACCTCGATGCAACATTGATGCTTGGATTTCCTCGAACCTCTGCGCGGATTAATTTCTGGAGAGACTGGTTTATTTCTGACAGATGTTTGGAGACGAAGGCATTTCGGTCCATGTCAGAATCGAGGTCTGTTCCCATGGCACTTATCTCTCCGCTGAGTTGCTCGATCTTGTGCCTCACATCCGTTTGGATTCTAGGAATGGCATGCTTAATGCTGTTTTCCTGAAGACTGATAATCTTTCTCCGCAATGCCCCACACCCTCTCTCATGCGGCGCCAGGTTTTTAAGCAGTGGGTGAGTTTTGAACAGTTCAGTTTCAATGTTGTCAATATTGGCGAGATCATCTCCCGGTCCCTTGTTTCGTATGGCTATATATCCGAGGCCGAGTTTGATGGCATTACTGGGAGTCATTTGAATCTTTTCGACAATATCCGAGTGCTGTTCCGGGACTAAATCGCACTTGGAAATGACACCGAGCGTTCGAGCACCAGTTGTGTCAAACGTTTTGGCGATCTTCAACGCTTCAGAGTTGCCGAAGTCGTCGTTTGCAGGGATGACGACAAGCGCGATCATGTTCTCATATTTGAGATATTTCTTCACTATATCAGCAGTGATTCCATGAATATCGCGGCCTTCACCGTCGTCGTGAGTGATACCAGGCAAATCGATAAGCGTCATGACAGGCCCCTTACTCCTGACGTAGCGAATGTGAATGGGTTTATCAACGACACGGCTTCTCGTAGAGACGAGTGCCTTCTCGGTGAGATCATGGATTGCGTTTGTGATATCTTGCTTGGTCGAGCAGTTGATGACATCGGTTTCAAAGTGTTCGTCGCCACAGATGGTGGCCGTGGGTAACGTGACTGAGGCATCCCTTTGCAACTGGACAATGATGGGAACGCGGGTACAGGTGTTGGTATCGCGCGGAAAGGCGATGTCGGTGAGACGTTCGAGGACGGAGGACTTGCCGGAGGATTGGGCGCCGACGACAACGATGCCAGGACAAGGTATTCCTTCGGAGCCGAGCAATTTGCGGAGCTTCTCAATTACGCCAAGGCGTCTAGCCATTCGGGTTTCGAAGTGCTCATCCATGGCGGAATGAAGTGGTGCAGAATCTCTGAAACCTGCAGGGGAAGAACTGGAAGTTGTGAGGATAGGGTTGGCGGGGCGAGGTGATGAGGTTTGGATACACAAGTTATATGCGAAGGGTTACAAGTAGCAGAGGCGAAAGTAGTGTTCTCTGAAAGTGAGCATTGCACCTGGGACGGCTCGACAACAAGGTGACATGAGAGACGGGGTCATTGATGGATCGTGCTTGTGGTGTCCCGAAAGGGTGTAATGAAGCGAATCGGCGACCTTGTCGTACGGTTTCTTATGGAGCAAGGGGTTGTACGGTACGACAGAGGTTTTCCTGATGTTGGTCGCAACCTCTTTTTGGGCTCCGAAGCGCAGTCCCGCCATGCCGCTGATGCGGTGCTCATGGCAATGGCAACGATGAATTCCTGATCCAACCATTACTGTAGCACATCGTCGTTCTCGGGCTCGTTCTCGGGCCGTTCCTAATGAAGAGTTCTGCGTGCTAGCACGCAAGCACCCTGACATTTGGCATGAATGGATTGGTTGAACGGGAGTAAAAGCATTTCCAATAATTTTTTCAACCAATACACACTGCAGTACCGTTGCCGAAGGGTACTGTACAGTGCTACAGTATATGAGCATTCTTTACAGTGTATCGGATCCCGCAGACAGATGGTGGCGTGAATCCTTTTTTTTTTGCCAGCAGGGACTGTCCAATCTGGGGCCCGAATGGGTCCAAGAAGGTGCCACGCGACGCATCTGAACAGGCTTGAGCCCCAGTGACGCAGTAGTATACAAGGGTATTTACTCGTATACATGTATTGAATTGTATTCCAGCACAATCGCGGCCTCGTTGGAAACGACCGTGGAGAGCCCGGAGGCGGTCCTACCAGAGGGAACGTATTTACTCTTACACTACTGTTCCTCATTTACCGTAGGCCATGACTTGTGATTCCCGAATACGTACTGTACATAGTGTGCACCTTTGATTTCGTCTCTCCAGGATGCCGTGTTGGACAATTCAGTACATTCTGCGAGCACGAGAAACACTCTATGAGGGTCTCGAAAGTTGTCGGCAATATGGAGGCGAAGGGAAATTCCTACGTTGACGCCATTCGAAATGGCAGAATGGACACAGCGCTCTCTTCAAAGTAAGGTGTAAAGTGTAAGCGTATCAACTCAAGCTGTCGACCTCGCCCCGTGGACACCCAAGCGTTGGGTGTCATTGCGTTGAGTACGCATGGGGCCCGGGGTGCTTGTCCAGGTGGCGGGCATTCTAACATCCCGGAACCGATGCATCCCGGAACCGATGCATCCCGGTACCGATGCCCGCATGTGTGCTTCTGCAATGCAGCCACGGGACACTAGAAATGTTGCTTGTTGGCGGAAAAGAAGAGCGACCTTGCGCTTGCGCAAAATCGCAGCATCGTCAGCATGGCACGCGCGAACTGCGACAAAAGAGGCATTGCACATTCGCGTTTGATGTGCAGATGGCGGTTGACCATCCACATCGAGCCTCCTGCCACTTTCCGAACAATACGACGCCATGCATCTCGCACCTTCCACGCTGGCAGCTGCATGGGACAACCCAACAGAGTCACATCGCTCGCCTGTTGACCGCACTGTCTGACTGGTGTTTTGTGAAGGCTCGCTGCTGCATCTGGCGTCTCCTCCGGAAATGGAGGACCGCGGAGACGAGGATGTCGTTGCATTTCTCGACGTCGGCGCGTTGTTTCAACTAGCCTGCGACGCCGGGATTCCCGAAGAGAGGCTGCGGAAATGGATCTAAGACCACCGACTGCCAATCCCCGAAGAAAAACAGAGCAAGATTGGGAGTGTCTAGAATGGAGTGCAGACTTAGTGTGGATGCTTTGACATTGGTGTAATGGTGTTGATATTTGCCTTGTCGTTCGATCTGCCTATGAGCCTGTGACCTCACTTGCGATGCCTTGGGATTAACCTTTTTACTCCCATTGCTGATCGCACCTCATCTGACATAGTTCGATGCGTCAGCGGTACGAGCGTCGTCTCCCAGAGTATCATACATACACTAGTTATTTGCCATCGGCACAGCACCAGCACATCTTAGCAAGGACGTCTCCTTGGGCAGAGTGTAACCGCGGATTATTGTGTCGACGAGGGATTTGTCGTTGTATGCACGTGTCATGGAGCAATTCCGTCAACGAAAACACGCGGAATAGTGGAGATATCTTTATCACGTGTGTGTGTGCGGGAATGCCAGACGTGCACGTGTACACGCTTGAAACTGTACACGTGTACAAGGCTTTGAGGTGATCTCACATACTGTACGGAGGGGGACAAGGGGTGAATACTGCAGCGGGAGGGCAATGAAAGGATACTATTGTGATGACCACTGAGCAAAAGGGGAGGTGCCGTTGGCCAACGACATGAGAGAGGAATGAGACTGGGAGTCATATGAAGGAATCACCACAACTATGAACGTAGATTGTGATATTACAGTACGGTGGCCCTTACGCATTAGTGCCATCCCGTGCGAAACCCCAAAAATGTGCACTATTGGGAGACGGCATTAGTAAGTGACGTCGTCACATCTACAGTATTTGCATGCACTCTGTAATTTACGTCTGTCTGCTCCGCGTTGGTAAATTACTCAGTTGCGTTTCGCAGTGGGAAATGCGCGCTCTGCCGACCTTAGATGCGATAGAGCGTCTGGAACTTGGCACTCTCAGTCGCCAAAATTTCCAGCTCTCCAAACAATTTGGCGATCCCGACGACATGGCGTATAGTCTTTCTCTCTATTGCATTTTCTGCGCTCTCATCTTCACCACTTGATTGCATTTCAGGTGCATTCTGCGCCACCGGAATCGTCTCCAAAAAATCTATGGCGTCATTGACAGACGCTTCCACCACACCTTGGCAAAGTTGAGAAATTCGACGAGGTTCAGTTCGACATGGGGGACCATCACAGACTGGCGAGTCTTCATTTAGAGTGATTTGGGCTTCTCAATTGCTACGCCTTGGCCCCTCCTGCGTCCAGAACAGCCTCCGAGTCAGCTCATTCCTGCTTTCCACCTCCGCAGCTGCCACTTCCTCCCACCCCATCTCGCCCCTCTCCTATGGCCCGCCCAGTACCCTGACCGCACATTCACTAACCTTGGCTCCATAATCCCCCGCCCAAAACCGGTCATCCTTCCCCGCCACCACGATCGTCGCGTACCTCACGCCCTCCCGCGCCGCAAACACCACTCGGAATTCCTCCCAGCACTCTGCAGGCGCCGCCAGCATCTCGCTCTGCTCCCTCGCCACCTGCTTCCCCTCTTCATCGTACAGCCCAGCTGTCAGCTGGAATGTCGACGGGCAGTCCCACCGCCCCATATACCTCGTCGACACCTCCCGCACGACGAGCATGACCCGAGGTGACAAAGGGCGATTCCGTCTGCACGGACTTGTCGTTGATGACGGAGAGTGACTGCGAATATTTACGTCTGCGATGACTTTTCTGTGGAGTGTGGCGTTATAGATCTCACAAAGCAGTATTGAACAGAGCAATGTTGTCGATCTTCGATTTATGAGACGTCAGGTGCATGTGTTTCTACGATAGACCTGCCGCGCATCTGAGGTATGGATGCCATGGATAGATTCGAGGACGTGGTCTAGTCTATGCTGCAAGTCGACAGGAGGTTTGTGGCATGCTTGCTGTGGACTGGGCAGGGATGGATTGGCTTCTGGCACTGGCAGATGTAGTGTTCCCGGAAACAAATTGCAAACCGGGACTTCGCGTTGGCTTGTTTTCCCAACACTGCACAGAGAGACGTTTTCAAGATTGCATCAGCGCTCTATTGTCACGTCGTGCCACCAACGAAATGTAGGGTAGTAGACGGCACCAGTTGCGGAAATATCATCGGCGACGACGGCAGCGGAGCCCATCGACAGCCAATATGGGAAATTCGAGACCATCAATTGTGGGGGGGAGAGAGGTATGATAGGGGAACAATTGAAGAGAAAGTAGGGTGGCAAAGGAAGGAGTGAGAGAGGGGGGGAGGAGGGGGAAAGGAAGCGTGGGGAGTAGATATGGTAAGTGCTTCAAGGACTTACAGCGCGAGAACATCACACGGAGTAACGCAGGCATCCCTAGAAAGTCACACTGAAGTTGAACCTCTGCCTGGAATAGGAGTTGGAACTGGCAGGATTAGGCACCGGTGCAAGATGTGGAACGACGACGACGCCTCCGGTGATCCATTTCACCCCGATTCGTGGGGCAAGGACAGCGGTGTAACAAGGAGCACGTTGAAATTCGCTTAAAATAAATAGCTTTCTTTTACTTGCAGAAGCGACCAGAAAATTTTACTGTTGTCGCTTGGAGAGAAATTGAAACAATTATAAGCAGGACGCAGACACTCGGATATTTTAGAGTTAATCATAACAAATTCAGATGAACTGCACTAATCCTGTTTCAGATTAAGATCACTTGTAAGTCCAGCACTTCAAAATCAAAATCGCCCCAAATGCCCCTGCCCTGCCCATCAATTTTCCTCCAAATTGATGGCCTAAACAGCACTTGTGGAAGATCCCTTCAACGCAGGCCGCCAAGGTCATCAATTAATTGAAAATGGGTAGGTAATATGATGGTCTCGGGAACGTTTTTTGTGTATCAGATTTAAATCTGGATTTCGAGACTGTCTATGAGACCTTTTATCCCGCCCCTCGCCAACAGTGCAATAGAGCTCATCAATTCTGCTCAGAATTGACGGCCTTCACGTATGCATATTCCACGATTCTCAGAATTGATGGCCTATGACAAGCAACTTTGCTCAGGATTGACGGCCTTCACGCATGATAAATGGCCGCTTTTTGAAGGCTTCAGAACCAGTTCTGGGCATGTAGCTATGCTCATGATCCTGCACAACTCCAACTGCAACGCTTCCCGTTTTCTCAAGTAAAGTCAAAATAGATGTGGTCAGGTCAGTACCTGACCACTCGCTGCAATGTTCTTCATTTGTATCGATTCA